ATTTGAAATGCTGTTTCTACAAAATTGAAAAGAGTATTTGACAATTTCTTCTTGTGAAGCACAAAATTGTCAAGCTCAAGATCTGGTTGGCTGAATCCATAACCCCAAATGAAAATGAAAAATTGCTAAAAAGTAACACCCATTCCATCATAACAATCCAATATAGAAATAAATTATAGTTCTTGCTATCCATGATAGTCAAACTTCTAAATTCCAATCCTTCAAAACTATATCTTACCTTTGTACCCAAAAGCACTTTTTAACTTCGGGTGTTGGGAAGTAAACGACCAATATAAAAATAACAACCAAACAGAGGTTTCAATAGATGGAATACAAAGTTTGATCTTAGTTGTCAATTTGAGCCATCTCAAGCTTGTTAAGTAGCTAACGGGAGGATGCTATCGATCATAGTTAGTAGCTATGTTGCTCAATTTTGCATTGAGCAAATTTTTTGAGAGTTTTTCCTCATATTTAGAGAGTCATACCTCCATACTCATATATACTTCGAAGTTTCAGGCATGAGTCCAACATGATTTTGTAGGGCAAAAAAATTAACAAGTCCATGTAAGATAGGTTAGGAAGAGGTGGAACATTTCATTTGTTGAATTCTGTAGCTAAACCTGACTTAAGGGTTAATATCTTTCTTTGCCTTTCATTACAAGCAGGAAGTGACTTGACTTTATAGGACAAAAATAAGAGAAGGACCTCAAAAAACTCAGATGTATCAACCAATGATGTCAAAGAAAACACCAATCTCAACACAGGAGTTACGATCATCTGCTGTTTGTCAATGTCCACAGCCACATCTCTTATTAGCTTTTTGTCAACCCTCCTCAAACTTCCCTGGCGGATAGTTTAATTTCATTCAATCAGATACATGGTAAAATAAATAGTATAATGGACACAAAGATTGCACTTTCACCTGCAAGTTAACTGCCCTGCATGAAGCAATATGCTCCAAAGCACCCATGGAAAATAAAACCCGAGCCCCAGATTTCCCATATCTGTGACTAATTCTCAGAAATAATGCGAGTTCAGCTTCAAGATTAAAAGCCCGTTGCAATGAGTCAAGCGAATGGCCACCACCCTGAATCAATTATACAGTTTATATGCAATGATATGAGCCAAATTCTATAAACAAAATGGGGGTGATAGAGGTGTTAAAGATCTCTGATAATGCTTCCACATAGGTTTTTCTTTCTTTTTTTTTTTTTTAAGGTTGGGGTGGGGGTGGTGGGGAGGGGTCAGAAGGCGAAGGTTAAGAAGTTGGAAGACAGTTTGCGTAGAGAAGAATATATCTATTCTCACATAGAAAAAGTTTAAACATATGTAAGAATTACTTTTTGATAAAAATATGTGCAAGTAATGTACCAACAGAAAACGAAATGGAGAGCATTATAAAAGTTGGAACATATTTATTGCCCCAGTGCAAGGGAAAATAACTGGGTAATGATCCTTGGTGAAGAAAAAGATTTAAGAAATTTAGGGTACGTTACCTTTCAATGATTGATTAATATTAATTACGGATGAAGAACGGAATGGCAGCATGGATAGTGCATTTTAGCCAGCTATTTTCCTATTACCAAAATGCATCTTTATTTCCAACTTAATCATCAATATAACCATATTTCCCCAATTAGTATATTTAATATCAAAACAAGAACATATTATGATGGAGGATGGAAACATGCTAGTTGAGGGATTATGTTATCTGAGACTTTATTTTATATTTTACAGGTTTGATTATAATCTTTTAGGTTTAGATTATTTAGGTTTTTTATATTAATTAGTATTTTATTTCTTTATCAACTATTAGGATTTTAGGGTTATATTTGCTATTTTGCATTATATTAAAGTTTTGGGTTTAGTCATAGATACATATGTTAGCTTTGAGTAAGTTTTATGATGAACATTTGAGTTATTGTGATATTAAATATTGAGATTTTCTCTCTGTATTGATTCTTTCTAGTTTTCCCCTTAGTTCTCTCCCAACTTCCTTTGTTCCTAATTGTATGTCTATTTCTGATTTTCCATATAGATTGTCTATATTCTGTATCTTTTCCCTACTTGTTCTACATCATTTTTCTTGTTATTTAACATGGTATGGTACAATACTTTCCATGATTCAGCAGCTACTTTATGAAGGATAGACATACCTGATATGAAAAATTACTAATGCTCATTAAGCAAGATCTCAAAAACCCTCTCTATTTTGAAGTTGACTCAAGAAATATCTCTCCTGATCAATACAAACTACCACATCCAGAACATAAAGTGATATTGTCTTGCGAGGTTCGCTTCCTTGAGCTGCATCCTTTATTACCTTCAGATAAGGATTGAACATGTGAAAACAGAATAAGAAAGAAAACAGCACCAAAATATATATAAAGTATATGTCATGCCCCATACATCCAGAATAACAAGAGAATCTATACAGCAGTAAGAATATCTTGCACAAAATAAATTTATGCCATGTTTGGATAAATATTAATAAAAAAAAAAAAGAAAGAAAAAGAAAGGATTCATGTACCTTTGTTTGGATAATTAAAATTAATAAAAAAATGAAATGAAATGAATTCTAACAACCATTATTTGGATAAAGAGTGAAAAGAAAGGAAATGATTTATTATAATAATTTTTTCAATTATAACATTTCATTGCTTGTAATTTTATAGAACACTTCTAGATCATAATATGTTTGTTATCTTATTTAGCCTCACAATTACTACTATATTAGTAGTTTTTAATCAGGTAAAACAAAAAGATGTTTTACAAATATGTATTGATGGATTTATTGGTCATTATCAAAATTTCAACACATTATCACTTTAACAATATATTCATATAAAAGCTATTAAATATAAAAAATGCAATCACATAAAAATATTACATATAAGTGAATTATATGTCCTTTTTGCACCAAACAAAAAGTAATAATATATCACTATATAATTGTCCAACATAAATTTATTTTACTAAAATAAAAAATAAATATTTCCATCCTAAGAAATATAAACTTATTTCAACGAATTAAAAACTTATGTAGCAAAGAAATTTTTGACATCTTTATGACAATAAATCATATATACTACTACTAATAATACTAATATTTATCAATTACTAACATATATTAATTATTATAATACTAATATTTACCAATTAAGTTTGTGTGAAAAATGTACTAATATGTTTATAATCATAGCCAAGTTAATTATGTTTCAATGAAACATCTCCCTTTTTCCATTCTTCTTTCTATAATGTCATGGAATTGCTAACATCTCAAACTATAATATATTACATATAAAAATAAAAAAATTTTGAGTTAGTTTGACATCTCATAAACCTAAAAAATATGTCTATTCATATTCAATCATTCATCAAGATCAAATCACCAAAAAATTATAAAAAAAATTTATATTGGAAAAGACATGTGAAACTTACTTAAAAAAGAGATGACTTTAAAAAAATTACAAAAAAATTGTGATGTGATTAGGTTTTTTCTTACTAGGCTTTTGGTATTAATAAAAAGTTGAATATAATAATTTTTTTACAAAAATAAAATTTTTTTAACTTTCCTTTCCTCAACTTTTCCCCTAAATTGGGTATTAAAACAGTAAAAACTATAAAGAAAACCAAAATTTATTGAGTTTTCTAATTTTTCTTTTTCTTTAAATTAAAAACTTATCAAAAGAAAATGTTTTTCTATTTTCATTATTTTTTTTTATTTTCCTTTCCTTTCCTTCCCTTCCCCTCAATCCAAACATAATCAGAATAAGCTTGACATGGGAAAAAGGAGTTATAGAAGAACGAGATAGACTATAAAACCCTATAAAACAGTTCATCCACACGTAATATTAGCAAAGAGAATAAAATACGATAAATGTATACATTGTACAATAACAAAATCACTGCTCATGCTGATTGCCCCATCAAAGAAGCATACTATACCAGATGCATTAAAAAACACATCCCTAGCATTTCAAGTTCATAGCAGTTTAAAAACCCAGATCTTTGGACTAGATTTTGTAGTATATGTGTATATGAATTCACAGGAATTGTACATACATACAACCATTAATAGTTATTCCAATCCAGACAAAACCTTTGTTCAAACTCTGCAGTAAAAAGAATCTCAATTTGGAGTTCCATATTGAGGACAAAATATAGTCATAAACTTCCAATTTAACACCAGTCTTTACATACTATAACAACTGAAGAAAAAAAGAGGGTTACGTGGGGGAGAGGCTACCTAACAAATCCAAAATGGCCTGAGCCTCTTTCCTTAAGATAGAAAAGTTGGCACGAGCTAGTTCCGCCTGTTCTTTGTCAATCTGTAAAAAAATGGATCAGTGGTAATGAAGCTTTTCTTCAATTAACATGTAAAAACGGCATCATAGTCAAGATAACTAGAAAAAGGTTTTAGAGAGTACATACCTTTTGGAGATCTAAGTCTTCGCCATCTTGCTCATCAAGCAGCAACTGCTGAAGAACTGTTGTCGGCACACTCAGGGCAAGCATATGCTGACAATACTGGAAATAGCTCAGAAGTAATGCATACTGACTGAAGACAGATACAAATACAAAGGTCAGATAAGAACTGAAAAAAGTTTAACAAACAAGGAAAAGCATCAGATATGTAATTAGGACCATACCGCCTTCTCAAGGCCTCTGATGATTGATTTCTCAAAATTGCCATGATAAGCTTGAACAGCATTGAGTGGCAAGCACCATTTGATAATTGTTTCACCATGATAATGTCAAGACATGTTATATTATCTGAATTAAAACCAACAGGGCATAAGAATCTATCATCTCTTAGTTTTGCCATGCATGTAACAGAAACCTAGCAACATGAAAAAGGCAAGTAATCAAAACAACTGCCATAAAAAGGAAAGCTAAGTAGTAAGTTAACAAGTTGAGTGCAGCTGGTTACCTGGCTCAATATAAATGCCATTTTCAATGAGCAATCTGGAGAAGCAGAAGCACAAAGAGAGGCATCAAGAATCCTGACAATGACCAGAGAAATAAGCAATACAGCAAACTAAGACATTAAAGAAACATGCCATTGATGATAGGGAAGCCTACTGATATAAAATTTCAGATCGATTTTCAAGCAATGAGATTCTTCTGGATACAGAAACCTGTCAGAGTACATAGTACAGACAAAGGGCATGAGAAAATCGAGATTAACTTTTGAAAAAAAATAGTGTCCCGACAAGCCAATCAAAAAGTGGTAGACCTCAATAATACGTGACCAGCCAGTTAACATATGAAGTTGGGCAGCCTGTTCCTCAAGGTTTTTGTTGTACCTCCATCCCCATCTCAACAACTGCTGAATTGTCTCTCTAACCTCATTCAGCTCAGCTTCACTGGCAAAGTTACTCAACTGAGGATAAACAGAGTTGAATTTCTGAAAAAATAATCAGATCAGCTTTATATATAAAATACTGCAACAAAAATTTGCATTTTCAGGCAAAACTTTTTTTAAAAGAAAAAGGAACTGACCTGCCAAAGTTTATCACGAAGTGAAGCAAGATCTATCAGACGATCACCACGTTTAGAATAGTAATAGATGCCACCCTTTCCGGAGGTTGGATTTCCCAGTATGTCCTCCGCCTAGAAAAACAGAAATGAGCAAGTCCAGATGACAACAGTATGAGAGATACTAGTTACCAGCAAATCATATTTCATATTAGAAATAATTTGAGAAAGCTTCATAGTGGTGTCTGGTGATCTGAATTGGACGACTTCAAGCAACTCTAACACCTGAAATTGATCCCAAAATGAGATTGATCAAATTGCAAAGCGCAACAAAGTGAGCCAGCAGAATCATTTCATACTATTCATAAAGGAAAATGGCACTCTTACTAGACACCACATAATACATCCCATGCAAAATATAAGATTAGGATTATATAGCATGGAAACAATTGTCAAAAGGATTTGATGCACTAAAAGGAACTAAGAACTCAGCCAACAATGAAAAGAAAATAAAAGGAACAACGCAATTTGCCTCGGCATGAATATAACAAGCATAAACATATATCAAACCTTCAAAAAGTTCTTAAATTCTTGTCAAAATGACTTGCAAGTTGCAACTGTCAATGCAGCCTAAAAGCAATAAATGGAAAAGCCAGGGAACCACCACTTTGCCTCAATACAGAAACCTGTATATCAGAAAAAAAATTAAAGAGGAAAAACACATGGGTGCAAGTAGCAGCAGCTATGGAAAGAATTGTTAGAAATTGAGATTAAATTCTATTTACAATAACGCAGTTATTTTTACAGATCATCAGCAATGTAAGGATTTGTTTATTTCAAATTATAATAGATGTCAGTAACTAGAAATACCTTGGTCTTACTGATGGTTCTGGTTGCTGCATGTTCCTTGCTATTTTGAAGAATTAAGGACTGAGAAATAATGTCAGTGCCAGTTTTAACAACATCCTGCCCAAAAAGGTGAGCAAGGATACTCTGACAAGCCTCTCTATGATCGGGACTACTCACATAAGCAGCATGTAACTCAATAGCTAAAAGTTTCAACATCCATGCTTTCTGTGGAAGGCATGAAGCAAGAAATCAGCATGATAAATGTTCCACAAGATAGAATGATATAGCTGACAAGACATTCTCAAATAATAGAACTTAATTCTGAATCTGTTAGGAAGGAAACATGCACCATGAAGACAACTAATCCATATAAACTAACACCTAAGATATCGAGACCTCAGGAAAAATAATAAATAATTGATTAATAATTGAGCTCAAAAAAGTTTGGGCAAAAGACTAGGTTGTTTTAAGTAAGTTAGAGAAAATGGGAAAAAATTTGTATCCAGACCTCTTTGGAGTAAAGCATAACATGGTTTACTGAAATGAGTATAATCAAGTATTTGTGAATTGTCAAGCTTGGTATAACTATAGATTTAAACGAAAACATAGCCAATTTCCAATCATGAGGTAAGTTGCCGACAAAATAGTAATCCAGAAAACAAAGCACCGTCAGATTTTCCTCTGTGTCTCACTTCAAAAAGGAAATGGCACTGTTGAGTACAGAACTATGTGAACTACACAACTTGGTTTAAATGATGCAACGGCAAGAACATAGAACTAAATTATATCAGGAAAAAGAATACTAAAGCAAACCTGATGCAGAGAACTGATACGAAGTGCCTGGTTGCTATTTCGCTTAGGAAGTGGAGCAACACCTATAGTATCAAGATGCTGCCACACAACAATGTCATAAGATTTTGTTCCTTGAAACAAAGCAAACCACATAAGAAAAGAAAGAGACAAATTAAGGTCATTAAATTTTAAATCGTCAAAGCATGTTATACCGTTACAAAGAAATGATACTTTTTGTTACGCAAAAGATCCATGGTAGGTCCACATGTTAATGAATCCAAACACAACTCGAAAAGAAGCTGCATAATGTGAACAATTGAAATTTTTCTAAGACATAGAAACATGGTCCCACTCCCTTAGAAACTTGGGAAACTATAAAAGAGAAAAGAAACTAATTTAAATGCTAGAAACTTTCTTTTTAAGAAATTCAATATGCAACACAGAGTAACTCAAACCTGAAAACCAAATTCATGGAGCAATGTATTTACATCAGGCTTTGACGCGTTCTCCAAGATTTCAAGAATAACCTTCAATGAGCTGTAAAATAATAATGAAAATACCGTACGAGGATCAAAGCAAACATCGGAACAAATAAACATAAATGTATTTGAAAAACTAGCAATTAAAACTGTAATGGAATTTTGGCTGTAAAAGTGTCCGCACAATAGAGGTATCAAGATCAAACTTAAGCAGTAAATGTGTAATGTTTGGTGCAGGCCGACTAATATTAGCTATCAGAAGCTGAAAGATCAGAGAAAATTACAGCAAAGTTCAAGACACTGCTCGAAGCATTTAAACTATATGAAGACCAAGAAAAAAGAAACACACACACACACGACCAACTCAGATTAACCTGCATTATTAGAATCCCTGGATCATCACCACTGTTCTCTATAACCTGACATTCTTGCAATCGCAACTCAAGGCAGGCTGCATAGTCCTCAACCAACGAATTTGCAGTATTGGATTTCAGCAGCAGCTGAACCAACCCAACCATGCGAGAACTTCACCCAAGGTAGCATTAAAAAAAATCAGATTCCAAAACATCAGAAAGAGAGATAAGACAAAAGTAGTCCAATAGAGGAAATGCTCATAATTTTGATAAAGCATTGCTGAATTTGTGTTAGAAAACCATATCTGACATACTCCAATAATGCAACAATTTGATTATGAACTTGAGAGAGTATAACATCCAAAGGCTGCAAGGAAAACAAGCAAAAACTAAGATTATTTTATTCTTCCTGATCTGTTGGCATCCTAAATCCAGTACATGCAATAAAAAATACGCTACTTTGGGTTCAATGTTACTGTGCAGGCCATGGAAAATGGAACATAGCTTAGCACAGATCATTTAAAAATGACACATAACTTTTATATACATTTAAAAATAATAAAATATGTGTCCCGTTCCTAAAATTATATAATTGTCCAAATTCCACATTAGGGTAGAGACTTCGTTTGGGAGGCCAATGCTCCCACCGCATCAAAAGCCAGTGGGCAAAATGAATGAAAACATACATGGTAATGGGTTAAGTGAAAATGGGTTAGATTATTAGCCATTGGTTCACCCCTTTACATTTGGAGATTATGCAATTACCCGAATTCCAAGCAATCTAATCGGTTTGAGGCTCCATTTGGAGAGCAATGCGAATGCTCTCAGGGTGCGTGTTTTATTTATGTCAGCTTCCTAATGGAGCCTGAATACACGCACGAGATAAACACGGTTTCGAGGAGTGCAATAATGGCAACTCATTTCCGGGTTAGTGATTTCTTTGTTTAGGAGAATGCAAGAAGTGGGCACTAAGCCTACTCTCTCTATCGTTGTTATTTTTCTCACTGCTTGTGCTCATCCTGGTGCTGCAATGCAAGGCCTTTGGATTCATTCCAATGCTAAGCGCTATGACCTTGAAGGGAACACTATCTTGGCCACTGCATTGGGTTGATACGTATGCGAAGTGTGGTTATTTGGAATCAGCTTTAACAGTGTTTGAGGGTATCCGAAGCAAGGGTGCTGGAGCACGAAATGCTATGATATCAGGATTTGATCAAATGTTAACGAGTGGTATTCAACCTACAGAGACCATATTTGTTGTTATCCTCACTGGATGTACACATGCGAAGATGGTTGGAGGGGCTACAATTGTTTGAACAATGATGAGTAGCGTCTATTGGGTTGAACCTCAGCTTGAGCATATTTCATGTGTTGTTGATCTTTTGGCCAGTGCAGGTATGGTATATAGGAGAAAGCTTATAAGTTTATAGAGGAGAAGATGGAAGCGTTGAGAGGTGGAGATGCTAACGTATGGAGAGCTCTAATATCTTGCTTGACTTGATTCACATCTTAATCAAATTGCCTTATGACTCGAGAAATGGTCTTTACCCCAATTTCATATAAGTTGTATTTTTTTTTTTTTTTTTGGTGTCTGGAAGATTGGCAACGATCATTAAACGCTAGAAAGAATGAACCTTGATGGTTTTTTTATGTCTAGTGCATCATATGATGACAGAAATACAGACAACTAACCTGCAGATCTATAGAAAAACAAAACATCTGGTTATCTTTCACATTAACTAAGCATTTGAAACATGGAGCCACTTTTCTTTTCACTTCTTTTAACACATTGTGCGGTCTTAACGATGCTGCTTATTTAAACGATCGTTTTAAGCTTTCAACAAGTCAAAATTAGAGAAGAAATAGTTTTCTGTATTCTGTATAGCCATAGCTAATACATTTAAGCACCATTCTTGCAAAGAGAGAATTAATGTAGAAAACTACCATTATCCTTTTAGGGTTGATCTTTCTACATAAAGTTATAATTAGGGCACTTTATCTCATTACTCTTTCTGCCCATGGTTCTAATGTTTGAATGCATCACCATTTTGTCTTTTGAATATGCTCTGAAAGAAGATACAAGATGCATAGTGCATAATGCATCAAAAAGATAGACAGATCAAAAAGCAGTATTATCTAAACCAATACATAATACATTGAACTACACATTACTAATCAACCTACCAAAATGTTGTATTTGTTGCGCCTGAAGCAATAATCACAACAATACAGAAGCAATAGACAACAATCAATAATCAAATGCGCAGAAAAAATAAAGCACACCAAGATTTACGTGGAAAACCCTCCAGTGTAGAAGGAAAAAACCACAGGCCACCAGAAAAATCTTCACTATCAAATAATAGTTATACAACGTTCTTCTCTAGCTAAAACTAGAGCTAATCAACAACTAGAGAAACAATTGGAGAAATCTCACCAAATAAGTGACTCAACAAATACACCCTGGATTTGTTCCTAGAGAGCTTCAAACCCGATCTTCACCGTTCAGAATGTATAACTCTGAATCATAAACCTCCTGACAAGGTTCCAACTCAATCGGACCACGGATCGACTTCCGTTTAACCAACTCTCCCTTCTCCTTTTTCTCTCTCTGCTTTTCCTGGCTTTTCTTCTTTCTCTGCTTGGTTGTCGACACACACATTAAACAACCCCACCTCTTTTTTATTAAGTAGCTAGGGCTCTGTGTAAAATAAAAAATCAAGGCCCATGACCTTTACTTGGTCCAAAACCACTTACATGGGACTGGACCCTATTTTCCTAACAATTTCCCCCTCCAGTCCCATTAGAAGGAGATTCATCACCATAGCAATTTCATTTGGAACTTACCTTGGCCAGGGAACTCATTCCGACCAAGTTACTGCAAAGCTCAAGCTTTTCCCTGAGAAGTATCTTAGTCAACATATCTGCCACATTTTTATCAGTATGGACTTTCTTCAATAGCATCTGCTGTTCTTCAATCACTGAACGTAACCAATGATATCTAACATCAATGTGCTTTGTTCTAGCATGGTACATGGTATTCTTACTCAAATCTAAAGCACTCTGGCTATCACAAAATACCACATACTCTTTCTGATTCAACCCCAATTCAAAAAGAAAACGTTTCATCCAAAGCATTTCTTTACATGCTTCAGTTGCTGCAATATACTCAGCTTCTGTAGTTGACAAAGCAACACACTTCTGTAACTTAGACTGCCAAGATACAGCTCCTCCTGCAAAAGTGAACAAATACCCTGAAGTAGATTTCATACCATCAAGATCGCCTGTCATGTCAGCGTCAGTAAACCCTTCTAGAATTGGTTGTGAAACTCCAAAAGTCAAACACATTTTTGAGGTACCCCTCAAATATCTAAAAATCCATTTTACTGCTTCCCAGTGAACCTTCCCTGGATTAGAAAGAAATCTGCTCACTACACCAACTGCATGAGCAATGTCAAGCCTTGTAAAAACCATAAGATACATTAAAGAACCGACTGCAGAAGAATAAGGAATACTAGACATAGCTAGTTGCTCTTCCTTAGACACTGGACAAGATTTCTTACTTAGATGAAAATGGTTGGCAAGTGAACTGCTAACTGATTTAGCATGTTGCATGTTGAATCTACCAAGCACTCGTTCAACATACTTTTCCTGTGACAACCACAGTTTTCCAGCTCTCTTATCTCGGATAATGTCCATACCAAGAATCTGCTTTGCTGGACCTAAATCCTTCATATCAAATGACTTAGACAATTGTTCTTTCAACCTGCAAACCATACTAGCATCTTGTCCTACAATCAACATATCATCAACATATAATAATAGGATAATGAAGTTACCATTAGGGAATTGTTTAATATACACACAAGAATCCGCTGCTGTTCTTTTATAGCTATGACTCACCATAAAAGAATCAAACTTTTTGTACCACTGTCGCGAAGCTTGTTTCAAGCCATACAAGCTTTTCTTCAATTTGCAAACTAAGTGCTCTTTCCCTTCACTTCAAAACCCTCAGGCTGATTCATATAAATATCCTCCTGCAAATCACCATGCAAAAATGCAGTTTTAACATCAAGTTGCTCAAGCTCAAGATTCAAACTAGCTGCCAATCCCAGTACCACTCGAATAGAACTCATTTTTACAACTGGAGCAAAAATCTCATCAAAATCGATGCCTGGTTTCTGAGAAAAACTTTTTACTACCAATCGAGCTTTGTACCTCACTAGTTTGTCACCATCCTTTTTCAACTTGAACACCCATTTATTCTTTAATGGCCTCTTTCCTGTTGGAAGTTTAACAAGATCATAAGTACCATTCTTTCGCAATGACTCCATCTCTTCTTTCATTGCTTTTAACCAGTGCTCTCTATCCGGAGTAGCCTGCACATCTTGAAAGCTTTCTGGCTCCCCTTCACTGGTAACTAAAATAAAATCTGAACTTGGATACCTGGTAGATGGCCTGCGCTTTCTAGTAGATCTCCTGAGCTGAGACTCTACATCACTTGATGCTGAAGGTAGCTCCCCCTGCTCAACACTCTCAGGTAGAGAGGATTGCTCCCCCTGCTCAAAACTAATAGCATCTGGCTCATCACCAACTATGGCTGGCTCATTCATATCCCCAAGTTCTGTTTCTGGCTCATTTTCACCATCTGTGGCTCTTTCTTGTGAAATCCCTATCGGTGTTGAAACATCACATTCAACAGTAACTCGTGTAGTCTTCTCATTTTTCTCAAGGTCTGCTATGGTTTCTTTTTCATGAAAGACCACATCTCTGCTTCTGACTATCTTTCTCTTTACTGGATCCCATACCCTGTAGCCAAATTCCTCATCACCATATCCTACAAACACACACTGTGTAGCTTTACTATCAAGCTTTGACCTCTGCTCTTTTGGTACATGCATGAATGCTTTACACCCAAAAACTTTCAAGTGAGAGTATGAAGCATCTTTCCCTGTCCACACTCTTTCTGGAATGTCAAAGCCCAAAGGAACTGATGGTGACCTGTTAAGTAAATAACAAGCTGTGTTGACTGCTTCACCCCAAAATGGCTTTGGTAATTTTGCCATCCTCAACATACATCTGACTTTTTCCACAATGGTGCGATTCATTCTTTCAGCTATACCATTATGCTGCGGTGTTCCAGGTTCTGTCCTCTCATGCCTGATCCC